CAAAGACATACACACAAACAAAAAAGAGTGCTAAGGGAGCTTGCTATTGGAGTGGAGGGATGAGACTGAGAAATGGGGAAAAACAAAAATGAAAAAAAGAAAGAAAAAGGTTAAAAGAGAAAAATGAATAAATCTAGAAACTAGAAATGAAGAAAAACAAAAAGGGAATAAGAGAAGGAAGAAAACTAAACAAAGAAATGAAAAAAACAAAAACAAGAAAAAAGAAATGCCTCCAGGGATGTCCCTGTGCATCTGTGCAGAATAAGGGACTAGCTTCCAAGCCACGTGGTACTGCCTGGCTAGAAGGGGCTCCCAAGCCAAGAAAAGAAGAAGAAAACAAACAAACAAATCAAGACAGAACACATCACAGCAAACAAACAAAAAAGCCCCAGGGGTCCCACCAGCATGGCAGCGTGGTCCAGGAAGCAGTTTCACTGTGGAGCAGTGTTTCACAACCTTTCAGGAAGAAGCAAAGATGGCACATGGAGCCAGGTATTTGAGAGAAAGGAGGAGGAGGTGGTGAGAGGTAAGGAAGAAATCCCAAGTGGTGGAAAAAAGCAACACCAGCAGCCAACAAATGGCACTCAGGGAGCCTGCCAGTGTGGATGGGTGGAATCCAAGCAGCACTGGGGGAAGCTTATGCTTCCCGACGAATAGACTGTGCCTGCAGGAAGCAGAGGAGACTAAATGGGGGTGAAGAAGGGTGGGTGGTGGTGAAGCTTGTATCGTGGGTTACTGGTTGTTCTGTCTCCTGCTGGAAGCTCCGTGAAGCTGCTTTCTCATACCTCCTGTTTGCTGATCTCCGATAGGAGTCCAAGATGGCGGATCTGTGTTGTGGTAGCTGATAGGGGACCTCTGCATGTATCTCTCCTCGTGCTCTCTTCTCTGTCAATTTCTTATTCCATTCAATGCTTGGCTGAGTTCTTTATCTCTTCATTTGATGGTTAGGGTTTCAGGATTGACATGTGACTCTGTTTGACTTAGTTTTTCTGATCTTTGCTGCAGAGGGACGGTCTGGTGCTTCTGACTATAGCGCCATGTTGCCTGGAAGTCCTCAGCATTGGAATTTTTGAGGGTGTTAACTGTCTTAGTTCTCCCCGGTATTTGGTGTTTTTGCTTGCATTACTTTCTGCAAGAAGCTCTTAGGTGGGCAGAGCCTTTGGCGTTTGCTTACCATTTCCTTTCCATCTCTGTGATAGCTCCTTCTCCCTCCCTGGTTTAACTGGGATTCGAAAGTTCCAGATACTGTTTTTCAACTTTCAGTCTTTTCCGAACACACCAAAGAACATGCTGTGGTCAGTCTGTCCACCAGAGGGCACTGTCACTTAGGTGCGATATTGTGTACTAATCAATCTGTCCACCAGGGGGTGCAGTCCCCTCTCTCTGGTTATTACTCCCATCCCCTCTGTTTCTGCAATCACCTTTTTAGTCAGAAAATCCACACCCATTAAGCCCCTTTTGGGGCTGTTACCCTCTGGTTTTGCCCGAAGTTTCCTTCGCTGCTCTGTGGGGGCTGCTTACATCTGAGCTGGCATTCAGGAAAGCACAGGCTGACTTTCCCCTTTTCAGGAGTAGGAGGAGCTGGCATTCCCCAGAAGGACCTTCAAGAAATCTGTCTTGTTGGTTTCAGAGCCCCAGTGGCCCTGTGGTTGTTGCGAAAGCAGTCTCCACTTAGGTGACCCACTTCCTGACTCCACTGTGGGGAACCTTCTGTAGCAGTTCATATCCGTCCAGCAGCCAACAGTTACAGGGTGGGGGAAGGGTAGTCACACTTTCAACAGACCTGGGGAGGTCTGCCTTGTTGCTATCAGAGCTCACCCCGTAGTATGTTGGCTATGGGTGTAACCTCCACTCTAGATGCCGGCTTCCTAGCACACAGCAGCCTCAGTCAGCAGTCCTCAGCACCAACTGTAAGGGGAAGCAGACAGACCCAAACTGATGCCCAGGGAGGTCTGTCCTGTTGGTTTCAGAGCCCTGAGCTATGGACTGCACAGGAAGGCAGGCAGAGTGCAGACTCCATTGCAGGGGCATTCTGTAGCAATTCATAGTAGGCTTGCAACCAACAGTGTGTGGGTGGGAGAGGTGCTGGCACACTCCAAACAGACCCCTGGGGAGGTCTGCTTTGTTGATTTTAGGGCAGAAGCTTTGGGTCCTGTCTCTTTGTACTATAGGGGCTGTAGTAGTTAGCGAAGCAGGCTCTTCTTCTGGGGCCACTACCCCAGTTCACAGCAGCCAGAGGCCTGCATGGCTGGGTAGCGGGGGGCAGGGATGCTGGGGGAAGATAGTTTCCTATCGTATGCAACTCATTGCTGATTTGTTGATTCTTGCCTGTCTTCGGTTCCCCACTGCTTTCCTCTGCTCCCCGATTCAGAGTCCCTCAAAGCCAAGCACCATTTCCTTGTAGTATTTCTTATTGTATTTGTTGGGGAGGGTCTGAAAGATGTTTTTTTTTACACCACCATCTTCCCAGGGTTCCAAACAACGCTTTTGAGGAGTTTTGGTGTAGAGGGGAGCGTAGCCTTGTATCTGAGTGTCTTAAGCTTTCTTGCATCAGGTAACTCTTAACTAGTTGCCGTAGAGTCAGTTCCGACTCATGGCAACCCTGCATGTGTCAGAGTAGCAGAACTGTGCTCCATAGAGTTTTCAGTGGCTGATTTTTCAGAAGTACATCACCAGGCCTTTCTTCCAAGATGCCTCTGAGTGGACTTGAACCTCCAACCTTTTGTTTAGCAACTGAGAACATTAACCATTTGCACCACCCAGGGACTCCAAGTAACTCTTAGTTGAGCTGATTCTTGGAACTATTCTTCTCCCTCTACCTCTTTAACACATAGGTCTCCTTCTGTCTTCCCTAATCTTCACCCTCCTTCCCCGTCTCCCCCGCTCCCACCCACAGTGAACCCAGCTGGGATGGGGGCCAGAAGCCTGCAGTCTACCCATGTTTTATTTCTGGTACCGATGAGGCACAACCAAAGAAGGCATACCTTGTGAGACAAGGGCGGGACAAACACTATTAGTTCCCAATCATCAGTTTAAAACCCGAAACCCACTGACGTTGAGTCGATTCTGACTCATAGCGACTCTGTAGGATAGGGCAGAACTGTCCCCAGAGGGTTTCCAAGGCTGTAATCTTCACGGAAGCAGACTGCCACATCTTTCTCCCTTGTAGCAGCTGGTGGGTTTGAACTGCCCAGCTTGCGGTTAGCACCTGAGTGCTTAACCACTGCACCACCAGGCCTCCCCATCATTAGCTTGAAGTTCCCTAAATCCCAAATCAGCCACCCTCAGTGGATCTGGCATAGAAGGCAAACAGCATTGATAGGTAAGAGCTTATTACTGACTGTCATCTTGTGGTCATTTTGGGAAGTGGCCTAGATCCAAACCTGTCCCTCACAGAGAAGAATTTAGTGAATTGTTAGAATAGTACCTGGCACTTACTGCGTGTTCAATAAAGTAACCTACTGTCATTATTGAAGCCTCTGTGTGGTGCAAACAGTTAATATGCTCGGCTGCTAGCCCAAAGGTTGGAGGTTTGAATTCACCCAGAGACACCTCTGAAGAAAGGCCTGGTGATCTACTTCCAAAAAAACTAGCCATTGAAAACCCTACAGAGCATAGTACTACTCTGACACACATGGGGTGGCCATGAGTTGGGTCATCGTGCTGGTAACTGGTACTGCCATTATGCTCAAGGCTTGGAGGGATGTGGTCAAAGCAAACAGTGTCTACTGACTTCACTTCCAATGTTTTTGAGGGAAAAGAAAAGATCTGAAAAGGAGGTCCCTCCTTTTTTTGTCAGTAAAAGTAAGAGTGCTTCAGGGAACCAAGCGGTGCTTTCGTCTAGGAAGTCAGATGATCTAGGTTCAAGTCCTGTTTTTGCTACTACGTGCCCTTGATCACATCACTTGAGCCCCTGAGCCTCAGTTTCATGAACCCATAAACTGGGAACATTAGGATTAAAACGGCGCAAGGTGGTGAATGTAAAGAGCTCTTGGTCAAGGGACACTCCATTAGCAGTAGTGGCATACCAGCTCTCAGCGCTGGGGGTGCATGGCTTCAAAGTAGTGGTTCTCAACTGGGGGTACTTTTGCCCTCCAGGGGACACTTGGCAATGTCTGGAGTCACAACTGGAGTGGGGGGATGCTATTGGCATCTAGTGGGTAGAGGCCGGGGTACTGCTAAACATCCTACAACGCCCAGGACAGCTCCCCACAACCAAGAATTATCCAGTCCAAAATGTCTATAGTGCCAAAGCTGAGAAAACTTGGAGTTTTCTTGAATGGAGACTCTTCTTGCCATTTTATTATGAACCAACATGAAAAACTCCTTTCTGAAAGGTATGAGCAAAGTAGAGTGATGGCACACAGCTGAAAAGGGGTTCTTCCCACAGTTCCATGCAGGAGTGAAATGAGGCTTCAGATTACCGCACTCTCCAATATGGTTGCCACCAGCTGGCCGCACGTGGCTATTGGAATTGAAATTAATTAAAATGGAATAAAATTTAAAATTTGGTTCCTGGGTCACAACAGCCATATTTGAAGTCCTCGATAGCCACATGTGCTAGTGGACCGCACAGATAGAGAGCATTTCCATCAGCACAGAAAGTTCTGTTGGACAGCACTGCTCCAAAAGGACTCGGCAGGACCATGAATCAGTGGGGAATCCACAGAGGAAACTTAGAAACTAAGGACATGCAGAGAGGAGGGTACCATGAGAAACAACAGCATAAACCAACGAGACAGTTAAGTAAGTACACAGGTAGCGTATAATTAAATGCTAAAACAAGCCTCTCTCTCTCTCTCTCTCTCTCTCTCTCTCACACACACACACACACACACACATGCAAGAATTGATCCATGCAACACCCACCTTCCCCAAGAATCACGCCTAAGTGCAGAACCCCGAAAAACAAGCAGCCTCAACAGAAGGCAGGCAAAGAAAGGGGAGCTCCAATGTTGGGGAGCGCTGTTCCTCTCTCGCTCTCTTCTTTCTGGCATGTTTCAATTTAACTTGCGGTACAGTGCCAGCCCGACTGGGGACCATGAGTCGACTGTACTGATGGAGGAGTGCCGGCGGTGGCCCATTTTGCTTGACATCTTGGGGTCCTTGTAAAGGATGAGCATTTGCTTGATGATAAAGGGCAGACAGCAGAAGTGCAGGAGCATGCGGGAGATTTGGAAGATCAAGTGCAAGTAACTCAGCTCCTCAAACAGATTTCTGATGGAATCCTTGAGGAGCAGGGCCAGGGGGAAGTTGAAGACCTCGTAGATGATGATCCATATGGTATAGGTCAGCAGCCCCAGGCAGATATTCATGTGGATGCAATAAAGGAGGGTGCAACTGACTATGAGTGTGATGATGGAGAGGCAGATTTTGATGCCCCTCATGTTGGCTATGAACCAGGAATCCTGATCTGGGTGTGTTTCATTGTAAATGCTGAACAGGCCCTCTTTGTAGCCAAAGCTTATCACATAGTTCACATCAAAGAGGAGGAACTGGATGGTGTTGAGGGTAGAGAAGATACCCACAATGAAGCAATACTTCTTGGCATTCATCTGATACTTGTTTAATCACAGTATCTCCTGCAGAAAAAAATAATGAGGACGAGTGACAAAATGACAGAGCTAGTCAAATTCCCCAAGCCACTAGATATATATGGGGGAGGTAAGAGCAATAATGGTATATGGATACACAATGGGCGGGAAGTCACCGGACATGGGATTTGGTCTCTGCTTTGACCTAACTAGCTATAGGTGGCCCCACTGTTGTGAAATGAGGGAGTTCTGTGTTACTAAGCCAGTTGTTGACTTTGCATATATTGGACACAGCTTTGCTTTAAGGGGGCAAAAATAGTGCTCCCATTGGTGTCAGGTTTGGGGGAATTAGGAAGCTGGGATAATGATAGAGTCAATTCTGGGCTCCCCTCTGAAGAATCCTTCCGCCTTTTCCTTTCTTCCCTTAGAAATATAATTTCCTTACTTTGTTCCCTGGGTCTGTGCTAGACATGTCCCAAGTTGCAGGGTTTTGGCCAGCAGTGTGGAGAATGGGGAAAGGCTTATGGATTGAAGATTTACTATCTTCTCTGCCCAGGGTGAAGATGGCTTAAGGATAAGCCACAGTTGTGCAGGTGAAGACCCAGGCTGCAACTTAATTTAGACCTGAACTCTAGATGCTGGTTTGATCCAGGGTAGAGATATCTAGAGCTGGAGCAGATCCTGCTGAGGGGGGTGATTACCACTGAGGGCCCAAGACTGGGGTGGCAGGGGCCCCAGCACAAACATCCCTCCCAAGGTAATTACCTTCTCACCTCTTAATTCAGAAGACTCCAGACTAAATCTCCCTTTCTTCATTTACCACACTGGCGCGCTACCACTGTGAGGGGAGAAGGCAGGGGAACAATCTTACATGACAGGAACACTTGCCCATCCTCCACCTGATGTCTTTCCAGTGGGGGACCCCTGGTTAGAAGCCTGACTTAGCCTCTTTCTGGGGGGACAGAAGAGGGCTCCTGCTCAGTTGTGTCAGAGGACAGACGGGCTGCCATCTGCCTTCCCCAGCCTTCTCTTCCTCACTTGCTAGATCCATCTCAAATATTCCTGCACCTTCTTCCCCACTATCCTCCTGACCCTGTATGACTCCACAGTCCAGTCCTTGATGCGAAAACCTCTCTCTGAGCCCCAGGCCCTAAAGGGGCCCAGGCAGGTGGGAGAGGCAGTGCATGGGCCTCTCTGACCTGACCAGAGGTAGGCCACCAGGTCTGGAGGACAGCTGCATTGATGCTTCCCCTTCCCCACCAACCAAACCTCATTTGTCTCCTGTTCATAAAGCAGCCTCCAGAGTAGTCACTCCCCATGGGGTTCTATCCCAAACTGGCCAAAAATTGGTCTCCAGCCTACACAGCTTGGTTCCTTTGGTTGAAGCCTATGTTGCAGGGTTCAAGGCAATGTCTCTATAAATTCCATTGGTTCCACATCCCCATGCCCTAGCCTTGGTTTCAACCTTCAGCACGTCCCTCCTGGGCTGCTGTAATAACCGTCTAACTTCTGCTTCTGCCTCCTATCGAGCTCCTCTGGTACATCCTATTTATTCAACATTGTCTCAACAAACACCTATTGAATATTTAACACGTGCCAGGTACTGGGCTCAGCACTGGAGATACACAGGTAAACATTCTAGTGAGGGAGATAAATATTTTTAAAAATTAAATAAATAAATAAAGGAAAATAAAACTCATATGTGATGTGATGGAGGTGGCTCCATGTCCTCAAGATGTAACAATGAGAAGAATCTAACCCAGAAGGAGGATCAGGAAGCTTTCTGGAGGAGGCAATAGTTGAGCTTGTGTCTTAAAGGATGTAGGCATTAAATGTGCAGAGGAGAGATTTCATCCCCAGCAAAGGAGACACCAGGACAGGCAAAAGCCATTTTGGAAACAGCAAGTTTGGTGTGACTTGAGAAGAGGATCCTGTGGGACTGTGGAGGGAAGGGAAGCTGTAGAGGTTTGTGGGGACCAGACAAGGAAGGGTCTTTACTTGCCACGTGAAAGTTTCTCTGGAAGGCAATGGGGAGACCTTGAAGGGTTTTAAGGATGTGTGTGTGTGTGTGTGAAAAAGATATGATCTGATTTGCACTTTAGAAATAATCTTTCTTGCTGCTGTGGGGACTGTGGATCAGAAAGGGGGCAGGAGCTGAGGCAGGCAGAGGGTTTGAGGGACTGTCAAAGGAAATTGGGTGCAACAAGGCAGCAGAGGGATGTTGGGGGCATATTTGGTGACTGGCTGGCTTAAGGACTGGTGGAGGAAGAGTTGCGGGGGGACAGGAGTTGGCTGTGGGGTTATTGCAGGACTTGAAGGCTCTAAGGTTTCAATGTGCTTAGTGTACACATCTGCCCCTTCCTCACTGTGCGACTGTTGCCAAGTCTTTTGACCTCTCTGTGCCTTTGCTGCTTCATCACATAAAGTTGTGAGGATTAAAATAAGGCCTCAATAGACCTTAGTTATGACTTTTGTGCAGTGGGTGGGGCAGTGTGGCGGTGGAGAGGAGGCAGGGGGCAGAGCCCAGCAAAGCTGGGATCAGAGCAGTCCCAGAACTGGCTGGGCAGACAGGACAGCGGTCCAGAGACATCTTGCCATGGGGTGGTAGGGTGTGCAGCGGAGGGTCCCGGGAGGAGGAGGAAGAGGACGACACAACTATTTAAGGGAGCCGCACCATGGAAGACATGTGGCTGAGGCCTCTCATCTCCAGGCCTGTGACCTAGATTCTCCAACAAGCTGCTTTTAGAGTTGGAGGATGAAGGGGTGCAACTTCAACTCTTTCTTTCCTTGTTTTGCCGTTTTCAACCCTTTCTGCAGCTCCCCCGGTCAGCATCAACCAAGAACCCACAGTTCAACCCAGAATAGTTCACGCTGGCTCCCTCTAGTGGACACCCACTGATTCGCGGACAGCTCCCAGATGGCGTTGACTCTGCCTTCACTAGCACGCGCTGACGTACATGCTGCCAGGTCCCCCTCCCAGCTAAGTCTTCTGTTTCCTGGAAATCCCATCTGCTCCACAGAGCCTTCTCCCATCATAGTGCGGAGCCACAGACCACTGCACATTTAATCAATGCCCTCACGGAAATCCTATTTCTGTTTACCAATTAAAAAATCTGTAAGAATTCTATTAAAACACTTCTTTTTTCAAATTTTCTAAATAGGTGTGATAGTCAATTTTATGTGTCGACTTGGTTAGGCTATGTTTCCCAATTGCTTGGTCAAACACCAGCCTGGACATTGCTGTGAAGGTATTTTGTCGGTGTGATTAACTGATTTATAATCAGTTGACTCTAAGAAAAGGAGATTGCCCTCAATAATGTGGGTGGGCCTCACCCAATTCGTGGAAGCCCTTAAGAGCAAAAACAGGTTCTGAGAGGGGAAGAAATTCTAACTCATGACTGGTAACATAGACATCTTGCTGGAGTTTCTAGCCCACCGCCTGACCTACCCACCTCAGAACAAGACTGCCAGAGCTTCCAGCCTGTTGCCCACCCTATAGATTTTGGACTTGGCAGCCCCCACAATCTCATGAGCAAATTCCTTAAAATAAATCTCTCTCATTCTCTCTCCATATATCTACCCAGAAAACCAAACCCACTGCTATCGAGTCGATTCTGACTCATAGCGACCCCACAGATTTCCAAGGCCGTAAATCTCTACGGAAGCAGACTGCTGCATCTTTTCTCCCTTGGAGCCACTGGTGGGTTCAAGCCAATGACCTGTCAGTTAGCATCAAGCACCTTAATCACTGTGCCACCAGGGCTCCTTCCATATATTTACATATCTATGTATGTTATTGGTTTTGGTTCTATTTCTCTGGAGAACCTTGACTAACACAATAATAGGTAATTCATTCATGTGATTCAAAAATAAAACTATTACAAAGATATAGAAGAAAAAAATGTTGCTTCCACTCCTGTCCCCCATAAGTTCAATTTCTACAGCCCTTCCCCCCCCCCCAAATAACCTCTGTTATTATCATGCATCTTTATGCAAATTCTCATGGGTCTTTACGCAAACAGAAGCAGATTCAAACATATATTATTATTCCTCCATTTTAAAAAAATATTGTGTTTTAGGTAAAAGTTTACAGAGCAAATTAGTTTCACATTCAACAAATCGTACACAAAGTGTCCCATGACATTGTTTGGAATCCCTACACTGGGTCAACACTCTGCCCATTTCCGCCCTGGGTTCCCTGTTTCCATTGGTCTGGTTTTCCTACCCCTTCCTGCCGTCTCATCTTTACTTTTGGGCAAATGTTGCCCTTTTGGTCTCATATAAATGTTCTATGGAACATGTTCTTTTTGGGTGTTATTGTTTATTTTATAGACCTGTCTATTGCTTGGCTGGAAGGTGGTTTCCGGGAATGGCTGCAGTCCAAGTCGAAGGAGTGACTTAGGGCCATAGTCTTGGGGGTTCCTCCAGTCTCTATCAGGCCGGTAAGCCTGGTCTTTTTTTGTTCTATATTTTTTCCTGCTGTGTCTGGGATCCTCTACTGTGATCCCAGTCAGGGTGGTTGGTAGTATTCTCTCATTTTCCTACACAGTTATGGCATAGTACATATACTGTTCTACACGTTGTTAATATATCTTGGAGATCTTCCCATATCAGTATATAGAGAGCTTCCTCATTTTTTATAGCTGTATAGTATTCCATTGAATAGATGCACTGTATGATGCATTCCCTACAGATGGACATTTAGGTTGTTGTCAATTTTTTTTGCTATTATAAGCAATGCATTGTAGAGTAATGGTTAAGATTATGGACTCTGGAACCGGTCTGCCTGAGTTTGAAGCCCAGCTCTCTTACAGGCTGTGTGGCTTTGGGCAAGTTACATAACTTCTCTATGCCTCAGTTTCCTCAGCTATAAAGAAACTGGGATGGAAATAGTATTCATTGGGTTATTATAAGGATTATATTAAACTTCTTAGAACAGAACCTGGAACGTACTAAATTATTTAAATGTTGGCTATTATTGATGGTACAATGAATAACCTTCTACCTATTTCATATGGGTACAAGTTTATCTGTAAGATAGATTAGTAGAAGTGAGATTC